GCTGTAGAAAAACCGATGGGATTCAAGGTCATAGACACGCCAACCCTTAGTCCCCGTAGGATATCCCACAAACATACATTTAAGACTACGGGGTTGAAATTTATTTTGCGGACGAGGGTTGAGACGTACATAACATAAACACCCAAATACCCTTAAAAGAGACAAGTCTGGAGGCTTTGAAGAAAGGAGTTCAAAGGGTGATTTACCCTGAAGGAGAGGAGTGGGGGTACGATTAATAAGATACACAGCTGTACGCACACATTCACCCCAAAATTCAAGAGGCAAAGAAGCTTGAAACATCAAAGAACGGGCAACATTAAGAATATGTCTGTGTTTACGTTCCACACGCCCATTTTGTTGTGGGGTGTTAACGCAGGACGTTTGAACCAGTACCCCCATGGTTGTGTAAAACTGACGCAAGGGTTTATTCACAAATTCAGTCCCATTATCTGTGCGTACAATTTTTATGACTTTTCCAAATTGGGTTTGAATCATTTGGAAGAACTGTTTGAGACAACTAGTAACTTCAGTTTTGTCCACAATAAGAAAAACCCAAACAGCTCTTGAATAATCATCAACAATGCTAAGAAAATAATGAGAACCAGTAGACAAACATGGAGAATATGACCCCCACAAATCACAGTGAATTAAATCAAACAAGACATTAGCTTTATTAAGACTTGACGAAAAACTAGAACGAGTTTGCTTTGAAAAGAAACAAATGTCGCATGACTGAAATTTTTTAATTTCAGCTGCACTTTTATTAAAAGGAGGCAAGGACAAAACTTGAGGTGACGGGTGACCAAGACGCTGATGCAAAAGAAAGACTGATTCGGCTTTGGATGCCCGGGCGAAAGAAGGAAAGACATAAACTCCATTGCGCACTTCACATCGTCCAATCTGCGTCTTCGAAGTTCGGTCCTGTATCACACAACATTGGTCATCAAAGAAAACATGACAATTATGAGAGTTGACAAGACAACTCACAGATATAAGATTGCATTTTAAATTAGGCACATAAAGCACATCATGGAGAATCAAAGCTGGGGATACTTGCACGCGCCCACACGAGTTAGCCA